TACACAGTAGATGATGTCCCACATTTCAACCTGTGTGAAGCTAATGCCTATCATGTTACAAAGATCTGGAGCATTGGTGTAGTAAAATTTCATTGGCCCCACACGTGCTAGGTAGTGCTTGACAGCAGATCAATTCACGACAGTGGCAAATGACTGGATTAGAGAAAATCATCCCATTGGGCAGTACCTTATAATTATATATGGTCCTTGTTTCTGGAGAACAACTGGAGCACCCAGGAATAAAATGAACTTAGCGTTTTAGAGATGTGCTGCACTTTAAAAAGGACACATCTCTAGTCTATGGGCCATTACCATCAATCACTGTGATTTAAGCACCTAATGATTTAAAGTTATAGTGGGTTGGTTTGACCTGCCTTTGGACCAATGGGAAATAAAATGATAGTGTGAGTGATGAGAAAAAAGATAAATTTGAATAGATAGTCTCTCTCTTAATGCTATGCAACAAATTATGTCTCCCCTGTTCCACACTTTCCCTTTCCATTTGTTCCAGAACTCATCCAAGGTCTACGTTCTCACCTCTCTATCACAAAGTCCAGGCATTTTTTTTATCATCTCCAGCTTTTGACAGGTGCTGCTTTTTCACTGTTTAGCACACGTGTGATTAATCAGAAAGGTCATACAAAATATATGACCTGTTGCTCGATCTTTAGGCTTTGATTTGTGCAGAAGGAGCTGTCTACCTACCGACAGATGTCTTTTAAGTGTAGGATTTTGAGTATAATTGTGTAAAATAAGGGATTTTTCCATCTTTTGTAAGTTTATGCCTAAAAGCAAGTTATTTGATACACCATGTTAAAGAAATAGGAGATGCTGTAGGGGTTTTACAATGTGCAGGAAGAAATACTACAGGGATGGAACCAAGGAATGGTATCAGACCCCATGTATAGAACTAGATGAAGGGAAGGCAAAGTGACCTGACCAGTCAGACTTAGCAAAAGCTTTATGGCTGGAAATTAAAAATAAACAGCTGGAATATACCTATAAACAATATCCTAACATTCATTTAAAGTACTGTTTATCTAAAGACAAAATTTTTCATTTTGGATAGAGTAGGGAAGGATTAAAACCATAGTAATTTTTTTTCTCACTAGGGATTTTCCCCTTCACTTTGTGTCCTGTGGACTCCCCTCTTAAGATGGCTTTACACTGATTATTTTTTTGTTGAGTTCGTTGAGTGTGGATGGATGAATCTCCCACTGCTGCTATTGTATTTTGACAGCCGAAATCCAAATACATGAACAGCGGTTGCACCTGATTGGGCACAGCAGCTTTTCAGCCAATGATTTTACACCCAGGAGATGGCCAACAGGATCATCCATGGAGAAAATTTGATCAGTGTAGTGCCAGTTTTTGACAGTTCTAGTGGGAACAAGTGTCCCCATCAGAAGATTCTCCTCTACTCCTGTTCTAGTGGCAGTTCAAAATATTGGATTTATCCTATCTTTCGTTCTCCATAATATTAGTAACCAGAACAACTTGAATCTTGCGAATGGGTGCACAGACAGCAATAAAAACCTGATAGTGGTTTACAAACACTTTGTGCTCTGAATTACATGCTGCTGTTTACCAAGACTAAAGTAGATGTCACTCATTGGGTTTTGTTACCTTTTGCATTAGTTTGAAAGAATAATTGCTTTAAAAACTAGACATTTTGCCAAGATTTGTATATCTTTTTCAAACAACTCCCATTTCACTCTTTATTTCATTGCCTTAAAACAATAATTTATATTATATTCACTCCTCTAAATCCATATTGAACTATAAAACCATTCAGAAAGACAGCGCTGGTGCCCAACTTTGAATACCCAATTTTAAAACCTATTACAAGATCCTATTTTTTCTATGATATTGGATTGGATCACTCATTCACTCAGTAAACAATGGGTACAAATAGAGTTGGACCCTTCCTAAGACAACCCTATGGGCTTCACCTTCTTCTCCTAATAGGAATTTCAATTGGTACCTAATGCCATTTTCTGTGGCACAAAAACCTCCGTCCCCTCTTCCTGTCTTACTTTCCATGTCCTGTAATTCCCTATCAGGCTTTCCAAGCTGATCTTCACACACCCTTGATCCTGGGATGGCAGAGGCCTTTTGGCCTCAACCTAGACATGTTACTTTCAAGAATACTTTCTTCTTTCCAGAACTCTGGGCGAAACACCCACCCTTCAAAAATCTATAGTTTGGTAAATGAGCAGTTGCTATAACACTTTATACAAGCTCCAACATTCATTGGCCTATGGCCTCTTCTGAAGGTCTCTGTGTCAGTTCTAGTGCCCCTCTGCATATGGTCTTTCTCCTTTACTTACTGTGCTTATCTATTCTCTTATCTCAATTACCACAAAGAGATGGGAAGTGAAGTTGTCCCTGTCTATTATTCCAGAAGAATAAAGCAAGGCATTTCTTATGAGGCATAAACTTCCTATTTTCTGCAGAATCCAGGAATGTATTGTATTGCTTACCCCTGAAGTAGCCGCTTTACATGACAGGTCCTCTACTCTCTGCCACAACTCCGTGCCAACATTAATAACAGTCAAAGGCTCCGGTAAACTGCAGTAAAATAACTGGCGTGACAACTAGGCTATGATATGGCAGTTAACCTAGACCAAAATAATAGTAAACCAAATTAACCTGAAATGTACAGCATTAATAAATAACAGCATAAAGAGAAGTATTCTGTAAATGGTAATGGAAGATCTAGCAATAACTAGCAAAATCTGGCCAATTAAAGTGTCCTAGAGTGCATTCTGTACATACACTGCTAAGTTTGGGTGAAAGGGAAGCTCCTGAAGTTGGTTGTAAAGCACCTGGTGCCTAATTGGTAATCTTCAGCTGGTCAACGGTGCGGTCCGATCTGCAAACTTTTGGGCTTCCAGGCAAATATGCACTCTCCTATTGTACTGAATTGCTAATGGTATTGGCATAAGCACAGTTGAATCCACTCACTAATCCTGGCACACAGTGAAGCGTGTCCTGGACGCTTGGTGGTCTGCTGGCGTTACAAACAGGTTCTCTCCAAGCTCAGCTTCAGCTCTCTGGTCCTCACAATGGTCAGTCTTGTGTAAGCACAGGCCGCTGGTCTGTACTTCTCCGTTCCCAGCAACAAAAGACTCCCTGTTGCTCAGTCCTCAACCTCCGCATACCTAGTCTCCAGGTCTTTACTTTCCAAAGTAGTAACACAAAGCTTCCTGATCTGCACAGCCCTGATTCCTGGCCACAAAAAAATAGACCTCCAGCTCAAAGTCCAGTAAAAATCCTGCTCTCTCCTCCTCTATGTGCAAGGACATTTGAGTGTTGTAGTTTTTAGCCCCATAGCTCCCACAGTGCAGCATCTCACCAGGACTACATATCCCAAGATCCTTTGCAGTCACATCCTCTGGTCTTCTTGCTGCTGCTGCTAGGAGGGATGGGGGAGGAAGTAAAATGTGAGAGCAGGGGATCACTCACAGCCTGGAGCACTGCCACTCTGTCTCTGTACAGTGGTGGGGGGAGAAGCCCAAGCACTCCACTCCCAGTGCCCGACTACTTCTAAATTATGCTCAATCTACCCCTCACACTCTGATGTTCATTGACATTGCTACCCAGTCAACCCAGGAATACTTCCTGGGGCAGGATTATTGGATTGTACAATTATCTCAACCTAGATAAAACTGGACACAAACTAGCTTTCCTACTGTTTCTCCCCAAGCTATTTTTGGGGCCAAGAAGACTGTCCTTAGATTCTTACTCTTCACTGCTAGACAAGCCATACTTAGATATTGAAAATTTACCCCCATCCCTTCATTGATGAGTGGCTGGGAATTCTGGGTAACATGACGTGTATGGAACACCATGTATCCATAGATAAGATTGCCAAAGATACTGTCAGGGCTCCCGGGTGTGACCAGAGGTGTGTGACTGACGCAGGGAAATGCAGACTTCAGATATGTTATAAACAATGTAATTTATTAACACTAACAATACAAACATAAATGCAGTGCAATACTAAAACATAACACAGTGCAAACAAACCAAACCAACCACCCACAGATAACAGTACATACAATGCAAGCGTCGTCAGGCAGGCCGGGTCAATATCAATCGGGCAGGTAGGTACAGGGGGAGCAAGCGGAGAATGGTCGGGGTCACAAGCCAGGTTCAGCAGGTAGCGGGCAGCGTGGTACAGAGGGTCAGGCAGAGGAGAATGGTCAGACAAGCCAGGGATCAGGAGCAGGAGAATGGTCAGACAAGCCAGGGATCAGAGCAGGGTCAGCAGAGAATCAGACAGGAACAGGAACAGGAAACAGGGCCCAGGAGAAACACAACACCAAGGCAGAGTCTGCAGGTCTGAATGTCCCTTAAATACACCAGTATAATTAGTTCCAGGTGTTTGACTGGCTGCAAGGTTGAGCCTCTGATTGCTGGGAGCACCCGCTGGCCAGCCCTGGTACTGCAGCTCATAAGGCAGGTGAGTCCCACTATTGCTGGCCAGTCCATTCCTGACAGTACCCCCCCCTCAAGGAGCGGCCTCAGGACGCTCCAAACAGTCCTAGCTGGGCAAAATGTTCCACCGCCCGGGTCTGGTAACTGGCGGGATATCAAAGACTGGCACACCGGGCAGGACTCCGGGCAGCGGCACACCGGGCAGGGGCACATCGGGCAGAGGCACACTGGGCAGAGGCACATCGGGCAAGAGGCACATCGGGCTGGACTCCGGGCAGAGGCACATCGGGCTGGACTCCGGGCAGAGGCACATCGGGCTGGACTCCGGGCAGAGGCACATCGTGCTGGACTCGGGCAGAGGCACATCGGGCTGGACTCCGGGCAGAGGCACATCGGGCTGGACTCCGGGCAGAGGCACTCCGGGCAGTGGCACACTGGGCAGAGGCACTCCGGGCAGAGGCACATCGGGCTGGACTCCGGGCAGAGGCACATCGGGCTGGACTCTGGGCAGAGGCACATCGGGCTGGACTCCGGGCAGAGGCACATCGGGAGATTACCAGGTGAAGCAGCAGGCACCGGGCCCCCAGGCGGGGCGACAGGCATCGGGCCCCCAGGCGGGGCGACAGGCATCGGGCCCCCAAGCGGAGCAGCGGGCGCCGGGCCCCCAGGAGGGGCGACAGGCATCGGGCCCCCAGGCGGGGCGACAGGCATCGGGCCCCCCGGCGGGGCGACAGGCATCGGGCCCCCAGGGCGGGGCGACAGGCATCGGGCCCCCAGGAGGGGCGACAGGCATCAGGCCCCCAGGCGGAGCGGCGGGCGCCGGGCCCCCAGGCAGAGCGACAGGTCTCGGGCCCGCAGGCGGAGCGGCGGGCGGCGGACCCCCAGGCGGAGCGACAGGTCTCAGGCCCCAGGCGGAGCGACAGGTCTCAGGCTCCCAGGCGGAGCGACAGGTCTCAGGCCCCCAGGCGGAGCGACAGGTCTCGGGCCCCCAGGCGGAGTGGCGGGCACCGAGTCACCAGGCACGACAGTGGGCTCCGAGTCAACTGGCAAGACTGCGGGCACCGAGTCGTCTAGCAAGACTGCGGGCACCGAGTCGTCTGGCAAGACTGCGGGCACCGAGTCGTCTGGCGGAACAGCGGGCATCGAGTCAACTGGCGGAACAGCGGGCTTCGAGTCGTCTGGCAAGACGCGGGCACCGAGTCGTCTGGCAAGACTGCGGGCACCGAGTCATCTGGCAAGACTGCGGGCAGCGAGTCGTCTGGCAAGGCTGCGGGCACCGAGTCGTCTGGCAAGGCTGCGGGCACCGAGTCGTCTGGCAAGGCTGCGGGCACCGAGTCGTCTGGCAAGACTGCGGGCACCGAGTCGTCTGGCGGAACAGCGGGCATCGAGTCAACTGGCGGAACAGCGGGCACCGAGTCGTCTGGCAAGACTGCGGGCACCGAGTCGTCTGGCAAGACTGCGGGCACCGAGTCGTCTGGCAAGACTGCGGGCACCGAGTCGTCTGGCGGAACAGCGGGCATCGAGTCAACTGGCGGAACAGCGGGCATCGAGTCAACTGGTAGAACAGCGGGCACCGAGTCGTCTGGCAAGACTGCGGGCACCGAATCACCAGGCACGACAGTGGGCTCTGATTCAATTGGCACGACAGCGGGCACCGGGTCATCAGGTACCGGATTGTCTGGCTCGACAGCGGGCATCGGGTCACCAGGTATGACAGCGGGCACTGGGTCACCAGGCATCAGGTCATTTGACTTGCCAGCGGGCACCGCGTCATCTGGCAAGGCAGTGGGCACCGGGTCACCAGGCATTGGATTGTCTGGCTCGGCAGCGGGCATCGGGTCACCAGGTATGACAGCGGGCACTGGGTCACCAGGCATCAGGTCATTTAGCTCGCCAGCGGGCACCGCGTCATCTGGCAAGGCAGTGGGCACCAAGTCACCAGGCACGACAGCGGGCTCTGAGTCAACTGGCAAGACAGCGGGCACCAGGTCATCAGGTACCGGATTGTCTGGCTCGACAGCGGGCATCGGGTCACCAGGTATGACAGCGGGCACTGGGTCACCAGGCATCAGGTCATTTGGCTCACCAGCGAGCACCGCGTCATCTGGCAAGGCAGTGGGCACCGAGTCACCAGGTACGACAGCGGGCTCTGAGTCAATTGGCACGACAGCGGGCACCGGATCAGGTACCGGATCATCTGGATCAACAGCGGGCATCGAGTCAACTGGCCTAATAGGATCGTCAGGCTGGATCAGTTCATCATGCTGGGTAGAGGCATCAGGCTGAATGCAGGCATCCGGCTGAGTAAAGGCATCCGGCTGAGTAGAGGCTTCAGGCTAAGTAGAGGCTTCAGGCTGAACCACGGAAGGCAGGTTCACCGGTTTGGATACTGGCAGGATGGTATTGGTTGGAAAGAATTTTCGCTTTTTTCTGGTTCTAACTACTGGAGCACTGCAAGTAAACGCAGGTCTGCAAATGAATGGAGCAGCTGGAGACAGAGAAGAGCTGGAGGATGGAACAGAGGAGGGAGCAGTTGCTACAGAGGGCTTTTTTACAGGGTTAAAGGCAGGATAGGTGCAGCGAGTGGGAGCAGGGTACTGACATGCGGTAGATAGCAGGGCAGGAGGAGCTGTTGGGAATGCAGGAATAGAGCTTTGAGGAAATAGATTAGAAGCAGGACTGGGTCTTTGTAAGCTGACTGAGGCTGGGTGCAACAAATCTGTCCATGTCTGCAGTATGGGTTGAACAAAGCTGAGCTTACACAAAGCCTGTCCGACCAAAGACTGCACTGCGTTTATACAATCTCTTAGTGTCTGTGGTGAACATGTGGAATAACGCTCCAGAAAGCAATCCACATCATCCTCTAATAACCACACCAGGGACTCTACCTGGTCTGCACTAAATGGTGGCAAAAATTCATCCCTGCATTCGGGGGTACCAGATGAAACCAACTCAGCACAAACCTCAATCAATGGCTGCACCTCAGAGAACTCTGTGCCCTGATCTACTAGAACATGAGCGAGCCGTATACATTCTAGCAGTTCATCCCGGGGATACTCCTTCAGAGTTTGATAAGCATACTCCCTGTCATCAAACACTAGCAGATATAAATACGCAACCTCATCCAGATCCATCCTTCCCATCAACAAACCAAGATGGCTTCCCTGTGCAGCCACTTCTGGTCAGGATTGGCCTTGGTGTAATGTCAGGGCTCCCGGGTGTGACCAGAGGTGTGTGACTGACGCAGGGAAACGCAGACTTCAGATATGTTATAAACAATGTAATTTATTAACACTAACAATACAAACATAAACGCAGTGCAATACTAAAACATAACACAGTGCAAACAAACCAAACCAACCACCCACAGATAACAGTACATACAATGCAAGCGTCGTCAGGCAGGCCGGGTCAATATCAATCGGGCAGGTAGAAACAGGGGGAGCAAGCGGAGAATGGTCGGGGTCACAAGCCAGGTTCAGCAGGTAGCGGGCAGCGTGGTACAGAGGGTCAGGCAGAGGAGAATGGTCAGACAAGCCAGGGATCAGGAGCAGGAGAATGGTCAGACAAGCCAGGGATCAGAGCAGGGTCAGCAGAGAATCAGACAGGAACAACAGGAACAGGAAACAGGGCCCAGGAGAAACACAACACCAAGGCAGAGTCTGCAGGTCTGAATGTCCCTTAAATACACCAGTATAATTAGTTCCAGGTGTTTGACTGGCTGCAAGGTTGAGTCTCTGATTGCTGGGAGCACCCGCTGGCCAGCCCTGGTACTGCAGCTCATAAGGCAGGTGAGTCCCACTATTGCTGGCCAGTCCATTCCTGACAGATACATTTCAGAATATGTAGGAAGTTGAAGGATCTAATTGCTGATTCATCTACTAACTCCTAACCAGGCCCAACATTCTATTTGATTGATTATCTTGTTAATCACTTCTTCACTTCATCCTCTTTATCTTCACTTCATCCACTTCAACCTTTATCTTCACATTAACCTCTTTATCCCCTGTAACCTCTCTATACCTTTCCTAACCTCTCCCCATCTTAAACCCCCTCTATATTGCACCTGAAACAGAGCCATTTTGGCATTGACATCTTTTATTACTACTTATTACTTTGACTCCAACATAGTTTCTTGAAATTATTTCCACTAAAATTATAATATGTGTATTTTGGACAAACTGTACTGAATGCATATATTTTGTAACTTTAACTCGAATATTGTTTATGTCCGTCAAACCATCTAAGGTATTTCTGTGGTGATACTTTAGAAAGGAATGGAAACACTGATGAAGGTAATTTGAAACAGACTGCAATAGGAGGGGAGAGCAGGATGAATTCTATTTCTATTGGATGTCCTAAAACAGGGATTAAAATTTCAAGTCCTGAGCTACTAGCCAGGCCTTAAGAGTTACTCGCCACCAGTTGTCCCACCCAACCCCTACCCTGCTACACCCCTAATTCCGCCCCTAAACACGCCCTCGTAAATTATTTCATGAAATGACACCTAAATGTTACCCACATTACATCAGGGTCCCCAGAGTCCCCCCAGATTACATCAGAGCCTCCAATGTCCCACTAAACACTCCATCATACTTAGACCATGCACCGCACACAAAACCATAACTCTACCAAGCATATCCTACCTACTATCCAACCCAGCAGTACCTCAAATGTCCCATACTCTACCACCCATAATAACCACACAGTCCTGAACCTGACCAAACCACCCATACATGTAGGTTTACATACAGACACATGTACATACACACACACACAGACACCTGTACACACACACACAGAAATGTACACATACACATACAGAAACATGTACACACACGCACAGAGACACATGTACACTGACACATGTACAGACACACAGACACTTGTACATACATAGAAATACACACAGACACATGTACATACATACACACAGAAACATGTACATAAAACACAAACACACACACACACATGTACATGCACACACACATGTACACACACACACAGACACATATACACATACACATGTGCACACACACGCAGACACATGTACAGATACACTCATTTACATACACACACAGATACATGGAAAAGGAGGGGGAGAATCGACTTGGTAGAGCATAGGAGCTAGCAACAAACTGGGTCACCTAAGAAATGTCAGTATCTGTGGTGAAGTCAAAAAATCCATCCCTGCAAACCACAGCTTCCAAAATTTAGTGTCTCTCTCATTATTGTTAACCAATACCTCTATCATCCTCATAATATTATTTAGTTCCATCAACCATGCCCTGATAGTGGGAATAGTGGTAGAGTTTGAGTGATGGGGGATCAGGGCCCGACCTGCCAGGAAAAACGGAACAATCCTTTCTTTATTTTTTTAATTAAACCTGGAAATGTGGATAAGAGAGCCACCTCTGGAGTTTCCAGCCATGTCCTACCCATAATTAGACTGCTCAACTGAAATATGGAACACCGGACCAAAACAGTCAAGTGTGAACGAGCCCTAACACAGGTCTAGGATCATCAAATAATTTTGAGTAGCAAGGCAGGATTTCTTTACCACCTGGATACAATTTTAAAATTTCTCTCTTGCAATTGAGAGGCTACAGTTAGTTCAAAGGTGAATGGAAAAAGGCCTTGTCCCATTTCTCAGAGTAAAAGGTGTGTCCCAATTCCTTCTTCCAGTTTTGGATATAGAAGAGGAAAGATGGAAAGGCAGTGAAAAAGAGTATTCCGTAGAATTTAGAGATAGGTGAGTGGCAAAGCTCTTCAGTCTGGGTCAGATCCCTATGTGGATGACCTACTGTTTAAGCTTCTCATAGAAATGTTGTAGCTGAAGATAGTGGGGCCATCTACCTGGACATGGAGGGGTATGCGTCATGACCACTTCAGTGTATTTTCTTATGCTGCTCTTAATTTTAAATAGATACTATAATAGAACCAATATTACAAATACTGACAAGTGACTTTACTTTTGTATCTGTGCCATCTCAGGAACAAAGTAATAAAATTATATGAAAGAGGAGTTTATTGTCACTTATTTTAATGGTCTGTTGCAGGACACTTTAGAAAATTAGAAGACTGTTAGGCCTGAGGTGAGGACAATTGCATGTTAGTCATCATGTTATGGTCTTCAAAGTTTAATTACAGAAATTAAAACAACTGATGCTAATTGTTTAATAGGAATTATTTGATGTGCGGCAAGGTGAAAATTGCTATATAGCTATAACTTTGGCACTCAGACACCCCAGGCACCTTTGCTGAAGGCCAAATGACAAATAATAATTTCAAAGTCTTTGGAGTTTTGATAATATTTGTTGGGGTAATTTATTAATGTTATTCCTGAAACAAATCACTCAGGGCTGGCAAAGTTTGCAAATTTGACATACATAATGATATGCAGATCGTATTTAATAAAAAGAAGGTATGGAAGTGTATAGTCAATGAAACAGCATTTTTAATTCAATGCCCGGCTCCAGAAATTTGGAAATTGTGAATTGCAGTGGGGCTATGCCCTCACTGCAAGGGTTAGTTGCTCTTTTAGTCTGGGGAGAGTAAAAGTTTCTTTTACTTACCTGATGTGCCAGGAAGGTGATGCTCCCCCACACTCTGGTGGCAGACTGTTGTGAGATGGGGAAACAGCTCTCATTGTTTGAATACTGCTTGTGTGGAGTAAACTAAATGTTTTGACTGACATTCTACAGTTTAGCCACAAGATGTCACTGTTTTTTTCTAACATAGCCTCAGACTGCATAGATATTTCTATATTCTTGTAGAGGTGGAGTTTTCACACAGAGTTGAGGGAACAGGAAGAGGAGAGAGAGCAGCCATGTTTAGAGGATGGTGAATGCAGGGGCCGTGTGAGCTGAGAATCTGATGACATCCAGGTGTGAAATCATCCCTCCGTAACCAGAGCTGCATCAGTGAAACTGATGAGATTGCTGCCAGGAAGCGATGAGATTGCTGCCAGGAATGCTGATGAGAGCAGAGGAACTAAGCAACATATACGGCAAGACTACATGCTTGTTAGAGAGACATTTTTTCTGTTCAGAGTCACCAGCGGATGCAAAGCAGACCGGGTCGGTAAGATCGTGCACGCACCTCATTTCAGTGTTGGCGCCTTGAGACAGTCCAGGCCTATAGTTAGTTAGTTAGGGTCTCTGTTTGTGTCAGGCCACAAGTGTTGTTACTGATTATTGGAAGGACTCCACAACTTAAAGTGACATTTC